CTGAAGTTTTAGAAAAAGGTTATTTTTACCAACATTATTATTCTCTTTTGTTAACCTCTAAAAGTGACTTTTACTTTGTATTTTTCTTAAATCTTTTTCAAAGAGAAATCAAACCACATACTGTTCTTTCCACATTCCCCAGGTGTAAAAAGTTGAATGGGTTTTAAACTAACAAGTATCAGCCAAATATGCAATCTTAGAGCTGAAAAGTTAAGTGGATCTTATGTATTGAGAGCATTTCTCTACTGGAATGTATAATATTCTAATGAGGCAATTTACAAAAACAAATGTAAAACTGTTAAGAGCAACCTTAATATGAAGGCTCCTCACAAAAATGCCATTGCAGAAATGAGCAGACATTAATAATTGCTATTTGAACAATTCTTCAGGTATTATGTAGCAATGGGAAAGGCAAGGAAGAGCAGTTAGCTCCTTCATTAAAAAGGATTATTCTTTTTTCTTACGATTATTGAGTCCCAGGCTTGTTTCTGCTGCTGTTGCTAAGGACAATAGCCTGCCAGATAGGAAATGATGTTGATGGAGACATAAAATAACACTTACACACATATTTTACTAAAAAATCCAGAGAATTGGGAATAGTGTATGCTAGGCGGGGGGTGGGAGTAAGGAAGGGGAAGGAAAAAAAATAAACAAGGGAATACATAAGGGTGAAAAAATATAATATACAATAATTAATTCACACTCTGAAATTCCAGATGGCTCACTTTCAAACCAGCAATTATTTCATTGTTCTGGGTCCTTTTTCCAAAAATTTTTTGGAGTTATACCCCTATGAATTATCTCTGCCAAGATTTATCCAAAGGAAAAACCAGAACTATAAAAAGTGCAGTAAGCAAGAATGTGTAAGCCACTCTTTTTCATTCCAACAAGTTGGTATCTGAATGTCTGGTTTTGTATAGAGGTATATTAGCCATCAGTTACCTTCCTTCTTGTCATTATCACTGCAAATTTTGGGATTATCATCCAAACAGTACTGCAAATGAGGTTTAACTATAGAGTTGCTCCTGGATTAAATAATTAAATATTACTTATATCTATCTATCTATCTATCTATCTATCTATCTATCTATCTATCTATCTATCTATCAGAACTTAGTGACTTCTCTCATAGGTTGGCTTTTGGGATGGCCAGTCAGGATCAGTGCCCTCAACAGTACACTATTCATAGAATCAAGCCAACTGCTACCAGCAGCAGCAGCCTTGTTTTACCAAGAGATTCTTCCTAAGAACTTCTGCAACAAAAAGAAGAAAGTTGGTAAATTATCTTTGTAACCAACCACTCCAAAGCAATGTTTAATGAATGATCTCACTTCTCTCTTTAGAATCTCTTAAATACTCCACTAAAGGAGTCACCCTAATCTCCTTACATGAACTACTACAGTTTAGGGAGTTTATCACTATCTTTTCCTAAAGTTTAAACAGAAGAAAAGTTGTTTCTCATGCAAATACAAGAAACCACAGGGCATTTAAGTGACACATAAGGTAGTATATTGTAATGGAGAAGAGCACAGGATTAGTTAAAAGCTGGAAGAAGATCTAGGTTTCAGCTAGGTACACTAAGCACAGGCATTTATTTAACTTTTCTGTTGGTTCTTTAGGGTAAATGAAATGGCTGGTCTACCTCTATAGAGTTAAGAAACAGGTAAGATGTGTGAAACTATTTTGTTAGCTATAAAGCACTAAATATCTTAATAATAATTCTATAATAAAAATCCATAATAGCAGAGAAATATGAATATACTCCCCTCCCCCAACTTTTGTTAGAAAAGGGCATGGTTTATTCCTTAATTGAAATTTTGGAGAGTAAAGGTTTCTCCACAGAACAGTAATTTGCAATATTATTGTTAGTTGAGTTACATTAATTTTCCTCCATAGTTTTTATTTGGTATTTTGGTGATAAAGTTTTAGTTTTTTACATTGTTGCATAATGCTCAGAGTGTCACAGTTTATGTGGCTAAAGTATACCCTTAGTATTGAGCACTTCTGATATTTTTATTTTTTTAAAGGTACAACATATAATTTCCCTGGAAAGCTGAGGTATACTCATATCCTTTTAATGTTCCTGTTACACGCAATAGTGATATGCTTCCCCACTGACCAAGAACTTGAAAAGAGAATTGCTTCTATTTATAATAAACTAAAACACAATAGTGAGAAATATTGTCTTCCTAGTATAAGAAAATTGCAAAACTATTTAAAACTTTATCATTAATATTAAACCAGTCAAAGGGCATCAATGAACATGAATGGTATCTAAATATCTAAATAACAGATTTCAGTGGGAAATTTTCAGTAATGTAGTAATGAACATCTCCAGCAAGGTAACAGATATCTGGTACAAAAAAATAATAGAATCTGTTAAAAAACAGGACCTCAGTCTGTATGAAATATTCCTTAAGATACTCTGCTCACTTCATATACACTGAGTAACGTTCTGAACAAGAATTTAACTTCTCAGGAAATCTCAAGAACGCTAGTTTCTGGAAAAGGAATATCTCTACCATAAACTAATATCAACATGATATGTATCTATTATATAATAGGAACTGTCTTAAGTACTCTAGGTACTAAACTCCCACACTCTTTACAACTCTAAGATAAGTACTTTACTGTACCCATCTTAAACAAGGGGAATAGAGTACATAAAGGCTAAACAGTTACCCTAGCTTACATATGCATTTAAGTTGTACAGCCAGAAATCAAAACTAGATAATCTGGTGTCAAAACCAATACTAAGCGCTCTTTGGATATCTTAGCATCTCTGACAGTCATCTACAAATGCAGGCTTTTGGACCTGCAAAGCCAAGGCCAAGACTCTGGGACCTGGTTAAACTCCCTAATGTTGCTTGACACAGTCTTATCCACACCCTCTGTCTTGCTGACATGCTTCTTATTAAACTTCAATGAGTTACTTTGAATATTCTGTAGATAGTCTAAATAGAAATTTACATATTTTTAAAAAGCAATGATAAATCATGTTTGGTGGGCACTTATTCTTGTATCCTAGAGTACCTAATGCTTTTAGTGAAAGGCGGAGAAAAAATTTTCAATTTTATATTAAAATCAACATGCCCTGAAAATGACTAATCTCAAAGCAATAATACACATGGAATTTCTAAATATAAGAAAAGTTAGTACTCCCAATATTCACTGTAAGATAGTGGGCCAATCTTGCTTAAGAAAGCATCCTGTGATTGGGTCAACTTCATTGATTTATTATTTTCTGGTTTAAATAAAGGCTGAAAGGCACCAACTGTTTAGGCTGTGACCTAACACTATCTTCTACCGTTGAAATCCTTAAAGGGCTGAATACTAGTCAGAAGCCAAAAGGTTTATGTACAGTTCACTACCAATGCCATTTTTGTTGTTGTTGATTCCATAAGAACTCTCTTATCCCAGTGAGACAAATAGAATTCTTTTTCCTGTAAAAACAATGACTAATAATGGGGCTACGTTGATGACTTGATTAATGTTTTATGTAATTTTAAAACCTGGGAACAAATATTTCAATTATCTAAGTAGTTGAAACATTCTTTAATTTATATTAGAATATTTAAAGAAATTTAATTGGGAAAAATTAGAAAATACAGAATCATGAAAGATTTTATAAGTCTTATTTCCAAAAGAATAATTTATCCTGAGTACAAAATAACTTTTGAGTTTCATTTGTGTTTACTTGTCAATTGTTGCTATTGATGCTCTGTTAATATTTGGTTTTTCAGCAAGAAGATAAAACTGGCCTACCAGAACTCCATGGACTTAAATAAATGAAATTTAATTATACCTTTCATAAGCTGGCATGCAGGGTTGTTTTAAATTTATTTTGCCTCTCTTTCTGATTAGAGACTATAAGCAGCTAGATATTGTATGTATGATTTTTCTTTCAAACAATATCTATACTCCTACCTCCAGAGATGCATTTCTTTTTGGTAGCCCTCATCAGTCATCATCTCAAGGCTGGTGAACTTGAAAGCTCATAATTCTTAAGTTAATTTTCATTGTTCCTACAATATCTGTAAGATGAGTGAAAATAGGCATTTGACACCTTAATACATATATATGTTAACTTTGGTAACAATTTCTTTTAACATACTGACAGTGTGATGGTACATGAAAAAGCAAAATATATTGATTTTAAATACTCTTCTAAAACGTAACAATCTATAATTAATCTTGTATTAGGTACCCAAAGAATCTTTACAACCATCTAGACTAAAAAATTTAGACTGCTGCTTTTACATCAATTTATTGGAAAGTGTATTGGCAACACTTTGCAAAATGTTTATTCTTTATAGTTAGTTGAAATTTATTACTAATTATTTTGTCAAATGGAAAGAAAGTCCAGTATACAACTGAAAATTTCACTCTTAAAAAAAGTCACCTTTACAGGTCTGATTACTTTGGTAAGCAACAGCAATAATGTTGAAGTACCACATCTCCTAGCTTTTATGATGTTTGGCTCTCTAGTTGGCCATTTTCAATATTATTACAATATGATTAATTAATAAGACTGACAAAAATTCCAACTTGTCACTTTTGAAGAGGAGAGGACATTTATAATACAGACACACAATATACTAAAAATCCAAAGGCTTAAAATTTCATGTACCATGTGCCTACAAACAGGAAACTAAATGTTCATCTAGTTCAAGTTATCTAAATGTATCAAGAAAAATAATCTGGTAACCAACATCCCTGCTAAAAAATAAACAATCACAAAACATAATCGATTTCTTTCCTACATTATACAGGAGCAAAAATTGCAAGTAAAAATGTAGTGCTTCTTTAACTGACTGAAAATAATATATACCTGATTAAAAGACTAGTCAAGTCTAGAAGAGAAATAACATAAAAAAGCCAGTTATATTTTAGGCACAAGTGACAAATATATTTCTTTTTATTGTTATTAAAGTTTTCTCCAATGTATTTCAGTAAATGAGTATTTTATTTTATTTTATTTTATTTTATTTTATTTTATTTTATTTTATTCCACTGTTGGTCATAGTTTGAGCCCTACACACTCCCTTCCCTTTCACCTCAAAGGGAACTCCTTTGTATGTAGCCACACACTCATCATTAGTGCAGAGATCTGGCTGGATCTGCTCCCAAATCTTCTTCTTAGGATTTAGCTCCTTGTCAGGCTCTCCTATTGAGGAGAAGAAAAAAAAAAAATTACATAGCTAAAATATGAAATAAATTATCCAGAGAGATTTCTAGTGTATTTTAACACTTACTTTTAACATATACTTTATTTTTATGACATGAGCAGTTTATATTTTTGATCTGTAAAATAAAGCATTTGACATTTCCTAACATGCCTTCTCCTTTGGCATGTTTAGTTGTGATTTTTAACAGATATCCCTGCAGTTGAAGATGATACTTTTAAAATAACATTCTCTCCTAATGATGACTTGAGCCCTGACACTCAATGGGAGAATCGGCAGAATCTGTAGGATCTTATTTGGAATTGACATTCTCTATTCCTGTTAATTTTTTTAAAATTCTTTTAAACATTTATTTATTTTTAAGAGACAGAGAAAGACAAACCATGAGCAGGGGAGGGGCAGAGAGAGAGACACACACACACACAGAATCCAAAGCAGTCTCCAGTTTCCAAGCTGTCAGCACAGAGCCCAACGTGGGGCTTGAACTCACAAATTGTGAGATCATGACCTGAGCTGAAGTCAGACGCTTAACTGACTGAGCCACCCAGGCGCCCCTATTCTTGTTTGTTTTTAAATTTTCTTTTTGTTTCACTGGAAAGGAAAGATGATGCTCAGTTTTAAATGTTAAAAATGTAAAAATTGCTTTGTTGAAATAAAACTATACACACACACAAATATTTTGACATCTCCTTACAAATGTTCAAGATTACTTTTTACTCTTATAATAAATATTTTTGCAGGTAATACAGCAAAAAGAATTTATTCTCCAAACTATTAAAATGAAAATATAAGATACTCATTTTATCATTATATATAAAGAAAAACTGTGAAGAGATGAAAAGCATAATTTGATGTTATATATTTACATGTGGTAGAAGCAGCTTATATTTCAATGTACAAAATAAATGATGAGACTGCTGCTACGGTGCTTAAAGATTTTTTTTATCGATATAGGAGAATGGATTAAATGCTAAGATTATCTAAATAAATATAGTAACTACTTTGGGTTTCATGGGCTGCCCATTCCATTTGGTGAGAGGGAAAGAGACAGAAAAAGTTCAGAGACAACGAGTCACATTTTCTAAGCACGAGAAATATATACAAGTTGCGTGCAATGCTCACAACAACACTCTATTTTTAAATATAAGGAAACCGTTGCTCAAAGAAGATAAACTGCTCAAAGTTAGAAGATCAACAAGTGGAGTCAGAATTTGACAACAAAACCCTTATTCTGCTAGCACAGCATCTTGCCTCCTGACACACTATTCTTTAGAAAAGAAACAAGTAACATTCTTACATGTAGATAAAACCTCAACTTCTATCATAACTCACACTAAAAGTTTTTAGTCAACAAAGACAAATGTGTTGTAGAATACATCTGGTCTAGATTTAAGGAACACCAGTATACAAAACAATCCCTCTTAACTTATAAGAAATAGAAAGTAAAGTTTAACATAATACCATTTTAGTAGCTGAGGATGCTCAATAACATTTGGAATAAAGAATCAGTTCAAGAAACAATGAAAAGTAACAGATCTCTTAAACCTAAGTGTGAAATAAAAATGGTTTCCAGGAGGTAATAAAAAGAGTATTTCTGAAGTATATAATTCTGTAATGATAGATATCCAACTTTTTAGATGTTTTCTAAAGTGACTCCCAAGTTGAAACCTTCTGGAATTAATTTCAAAAGAATCTTTTACCATTACTGGAATTATATTCTATACTCTAGTTATACCTTATGACCTAAACTAGTTTTTACTCTGCACTCATACAACAGGAAAAACAAAACTGAGTAAAATTGTCAGCCACTGTGGTTTTTGTTCTTTATTAGCTCTTCAGGAACTGCCACGAAACTGGCAAGAACATATAAAACTGTCCTCTGATATGCAGGTTTTCAGAGATGACAGAACAGTTAATTGAATGATGTATCTATACCAAAAGAACAAGCAATGAAACCAAAACTGAAAGACTAGTATAAAAGAAAAGGATTTCTCTTATTAAGAGCGTTTGACTTGACAGCAGAAAAACTAATTAATAAACAGAAAAAAAAAATGCTAATATATCAAGTATCTACAGAAAAAAATACTAACATATAAAGTATCTTTATTTTTTGTTTTTAAACATTTCTATTTTTTGTTTCTAAGCCATTCCTTAGTCTAAAAGTTTACTTTGCTTGTGTATAGATCATGTCAGGAAGTGGGCGTTCCAGAATCCTAGAAAGCTGGAGGCAGAGAAACTGTTTAGAGGCCTGAGTACTAACTCTTAATTCCCCCAACTCTCCCAAAAAACACATTGCCAAACTGATAACAGATTAATTCAAGAGGCACAGCATCCCAGATTTGTGTGAAATTCTTATCAAAAGCACAGATTGTGTGAGTTCTTGTTAAATGCAGACAATAAGCTCCAAATACCAAAAGAAAAAAAAAAAAAAAACTGTGATGCAGCACAAAATTAAGCTTCACAGAACTAGTAAGATATTGACATGCACACAAAATAATATTCATAACACATAATACATAGTGCTTACCATAGGCTGTTTGCTACACTAAAGGCTTTACAAATATTTACTCATTCAATCCTCTCAGTACACTACATAAATACTATTAATTACCCTCGTTTAGGAAAAACATTCAGCCAAGAATTCTTTATCCAGCAAGGCTGTCATTCAGAACAGGAGAGATAAAGAGTTTCCCAGACAAAAACTAAAGGAGTTCATGACCACTAAACCAGCCCTGCAAGAAACCTTAAGGGCGATGTTTTGATTGGAGGAAAAAAAGACCAAAAGCAACAAAGACCAGAAAGGACCAGAGAGCATCACCACAAACACTAACTCTACAGGTAATACAATGGCACTAAATTCATACCTTTCAACAATCACTCTGAATGTAAACGGACTAAATGCTCCAATCAGAAGACATAGGGTATCAGAATGGATAAAAAGACAAGATCCATCTATATGTTGTCCACAAGACTCATTTTAGACCTAAAGACACCTGAAGTTTGAAAGTAAGGGGATGGAGAACCACCTATCATGCTAATGGTTGTCAAAAGAAAGCCGCGGGGCGCCTGGGTGGCGCAGTCGGTTAAGCGTCCGACTTCAGCCAGGTCACGATCTCGCGGTCCGTGAGTTCGAGCCCCGCGTCGGGCTCTGTGCTGACAGCTCAGAGCCTGGAGCCTGTTTCAGGTTCTGTGTCTCCCTCTCTCTCTGCCCCTCCCCTACTCATGCTCTGTCTCTGTCTGTCTCAAAAATAAATAAAACATTAAAAAAAAAAAATTTAAAAAAAGAAAGCCAGAGTACCCACACCTATATCAGATGAACTAGATTTTAAACCAAACACTGTAACAAGAGATGAAGCAGGGTATTACATCATAATTAAGGGATCTATCCATCAAGAAGATGTAATAATTATAAATATTTATGCCCCTAACTTGCAAGCACCCAAATATATAAATCAATTAATAACAAACATAAAGAAACTCATTGAAAATAATACAATAATAGTAGGGGACTTTAACACTCCACTTACAACAATGGACAGATCATCTAAGCAGAAAATCAACAAGGAAACAATGGCTTTGAATGACACACTGGACTGGATGGATTTAACGGATATATTCAGAACATTTCATCCTAACGCAGAATATGCATTCTTTTTGAGTGCACATGGAACATTCTCCAGAAGAGATCACCTACTAGGTCACATCAGCCCTCAACAAGTACAAAAAGACTGAGATCATACCATGCACATTTTCAGATCACAATGCTATGAAACTTGAAGTCAACCACAAGACAAAACTGTAAAGCCCTCAAATACATGAACATAAAGAACATCCTACTAAAGAATGAATGAGTAAACCAGGAAATTAAAGAAGAAATTTAAAAAAAAATACATGGAAACAAATGAAAATGCAAATTGGACAGTCCAAAACTTCTGGGATACAGCAAAGGCAGTCCTAAGAGGGAAGCATACTGAAATTCAGGCCTATTTCAAGAAGCAAGTAAAGTCCCAAATACATAACCTAACCATACACCTAAGGAGCTAGAAACGAAACAGCAAATAAAGTCTACAGGCAGCAGAAAAAGGGAAATAATAAAGATTAGAGCAGAAATAAACGATACAGTAACAAAAAACAAATCAGAACAAATCAATGAAACTAAGACTCTTTGAAAGATTAACAAAATTGATAAACCCCTTGCTAGACTTACTAAAAAGAAGAGAAAGGACCCAAGTAGATAAAATCACGAATGGCAGAGATCACAACCAACACCACAGAAATACAAAGAATTATAAGAGAATGCTATGAAAAATTATATGCCAACAAATTGGGCAATCTGGAAGAAACAGGCAAATTCCAGATACTCACAAACTACCAAAAATGAAACAGAAAGAAATAGAAAATTTCGACAGACCATAACCAGCAAAGAAATTGAATCAGTAATCAAAACATCTCCCAACAAACAAGAGTCCTGAGCCAGATGACTTCCCAGGGAAATTCTACCAGATATTTAAAGAAGAGTTAATACCTATTTTCAAACTGTTCCAAAAAATAGAAATGGAAAGAAAACCTCCAAACTCATTCTTACAAGGCCAGCATTACCTTGGTTCCAAAACCAGACAAAGACCCCACTAAAAAGGAGAATTACAGGCCAATATCCCTGATGAACATGGATGCAAAGATTCTCAATAAAATATTAGCAAATCAAATTTGCTAGAAGTACATTAAAAAAATTATTCACCATGATCAAGTGGGATTAAGTCTTGGGCTGCAGAGCTGGTTCAATATTCATAAACAAATCAGTTCATTAATGTGATACATTATACTGTTTTCTCAATAGATGCAAAAAAAGCATTTGACAAAATACAGCATCCATTCTTCATAAAAACCCTCAACAAAGAAGGAATAGATGGAACATAATTGAACATCATAAAGGCCATATATGAAAGACCTACAATTAATATCATCCTCAATGGGGCAACAC